ATGGAATCAGTCATATATTTGAAAGTAATTTAATGTAAAATATAAAATGTTTCATCAAAGTAGAGATTTTAAAATCTTTTTTTATCGTAACTTGTGGATTTATGTTATATGCTATGCAAATGATTACTCTAGTACGCAAATGTCAGATAAAAGTGTTCCTTTAGGTAAAACATGTCACTGAAATCCCCTATAGGGAAGCAATGATTTAAAGAACTGGGACAAAGCATGATGCCTTATAGGCTAGGTGGTAGATTGTACTAGACGATGCAGCATTACCAAGGATACAGAATATTTATAACATATAAATAAATAACTGCATTGAAAAGTAATTGCATTTTAAACCTTTTCATTTTCAGAATTCATTCCAGATTTTACACAGTTATTGCAAGGACAATACATTATTCAACAATCTGTATGTAGGTATATATATATGTATGTATGTGTATATATATACACATCCTGTAGCGCCCTGATAATGTGTGTAGCATATCTGGTTTCATATATGTATATTATATATATATATATATATATATATATATATATATTTATTTATTTCTGAGAATACACACTGACTCCCTTGGTCTTTTTTTGCATTTTCTGTATTTGAGGAATCCTTATGTTTTCTACAATATGTTTGGAGTAGGCAAATAGTAATTTTAAGCGAAAATAATTTTTCTAGGTAAATAGTTATTTGATCTTTAAAATTAATTGGATAGCAGATGTCACTTCTCCATGTGCCTAGGTGCCTATTGGTAACAGGGGCCTCTTTCCAAGGGTGCAGGTGTCCCTTTCCTAGGGTACATGTTTGTGTTTTGGTGAGCAGGGGCAACTTTTTCTGTGTTGCCTGGGCACCTACTGTCTATCAGTGGCAATTTGCTGGGATGCCTGGGAGCCAATTGACGAGCATGGGCCACTTTCTCATGGGTTGCCTGGGAGCCTACTGATTACCATGAACCACTTTCCAGCACACAGGGAAGCAAGTGCCATATTCCTTAAAGGGAAGGTGGGTATTGGTGGCCAAGGGCCACTTTTCTGGGGTACCTGGCACCTACTGGCAAACTGGCCATTTTGTATTGGTGAGCAAGTCCCATTGTTCTTTAGAGGCTGGGCCTCTATTTGAAAACAGGAGACACTTTCCCCACCTGTTAGCAAACAGGGGCCACCCTCCTGAATCACCTCGGGAATTGGTAAGTAAGGGCCACCTTCCTGGGAGTTCCTTGTTGCTTATTTGTGAGCAGGTGACACTTTATTTAACGTTTTGCTAGGTGGTTAACAGAAACCAAAAGGTCACTGTCCGAGGATGACTGGATGTTTATTGCTGAACAGGGAGCAATTTCTAGGGTTGTTTGTGAAAAGGGGCAAGTATCCCTTTGTTGCATGGGCACTTGCTACTTAGTTATCACTAGGCTGTAATGTAAACACTCCATTTTCTCTAAAAAGACAGTGTTTACTGCAAAAGGCAATAGCTATAAAACCCGAAATCCAACAAAAGATTCAAAATGAATCATGGCTTTGTTGTGAATCAAAATGGTATCACATATTTGGTAGTGATTTTAATGAATAAATTAGACAATCTCTAGCAAGCAAATTACTTGCCTATAATTAAAGAACATTAGAAAAACTTAACAGATTGGAAAAATGTGTTAGTTTCCTTGATGGGCAGGATAAATATAAGCGAAGCTTATGCATTTCCCAAATGGTTATATTTACTACATATGATTCCTGTAAAAATGTCTGATTGTTATTGTGATCATTTCCAAAAAATTATAGAAAATGTTATATGGACGGAGGAAAAAACAAGAATCTCTAGAAAAATAATACTGACCACCAATGTGCTAATGATTATGCAAGCTCATAAATTTCAGGTTGATCTTTGCATACGGGAAGACTGGTATCTTATAGAATCCATTATATTTAATATTGAGAACCTAGAAAATGTTTTATGGATTCACCTTAAAGAGATGAAGGAAATAATGGAGAAAAATACTTTTAGAAAATTAAGCAATATTATTAATGCCTGGATTTTATTTAAGAAAAATGCATCAATGAAAGATAAAGTTCTTAAATCCACTTCACTAGCAAGAATTGAATATAAAATTTAAAACTCGAAATTTAAATCTCTTTTTTTTCTTTAATGTACTGTGTTCATTACTTGTTTGTTTGAAAAAAAAGATATATTGTTTTGTTTTATAAAAATGTATAAATATAAATTATTTGAAAATAATGATTCATGGGAATAAATCAAAGTCAACTTGTAGAACACTAATATCATGGTAAAAAGAGCTCCAATCACATTTGGAGATAGATGATTGGATAAAGAGTATGTTCTACCTAAAGAAAGTCACGCATTGTCTGAACTTACAGGAAACCCAACTTAAACTAAAACATAAATGGTACTTAAAAGGACACCATAGGCACTGTATCTGCTTCATCTCATTAAACTGGTTATAGTGTCTGGAGTCCTCTGGTACCATCATTTCTTTCAGCATTAAACAGTTTTTAAACTTTTAATGTTTTAATGCTAAACAAGAGTCCCCAGCAATCCATCCCCTCTGTGCTGCTTTGGCTAATAAGGAAGTATTAGCCTGAGCAGCAATAGGCAGCTGTGATTGTCTGAGAGTGTCAGCTGACTGCTTTTAGCCTGTCAGAGTTCCAACTGACAGTATGAATGGGTATGACAACAAGTGTGTAATCTCTGCCTTAGCTACACATACTACACATACATAAGGGGCCGGACTGTGGGTGGCCAGGGACTCTTATTTTGTGGCATACTGCATGAACAGGGTGCAACACTGAATGGAGGGACAGTGCCAAGGCACTCCAGGCACTATAACCAATTCAAAGAGATGAAAAGCTTATAGTGACTACAGTGTCCCTTTAATACCATCAATTTTAGCAAAATTTGACGATACAAACTCCCCATTATGTTGGAGCTGCGGTGAGCAAAATAGTACTTACCTACTTACCACCTATTTGGTGGTAATTTCTGATAAATGGAACATTATTTTTGTTTTAATTTCTAAAAATTTAAGAGAAGAGTAATTGCATCCCGATTAAGGTATTACTACACTTAGACATGGATGTATTAATATTACAAAATAGATATTTGACTACTTAGATTTTTTTAGCAATGAAAGTGATCATAGAAAGAAAATGTAAAACTGCTGATAAAATATGTTGGAGTGCAGTCAAGAATCAAGTAAATTATCAGTGTGTGATGGAAAAAGGCTTTTATATGAATTATCATACCTTGAAAAAAATATAATACTTTATGGAATTTGTGACAGTAAAACTTTCTGTAATTTAGATGTACCGTAAGGTAAATTTAATGTATTTGTTAATGGTTTACTATGTCTTTAATGTGTAAATGTTTTTTTTTTTTAAATATATCAATAAAGGGAAATATTTAAAAAAATAAATAAAAATATTTATTTTCATTGTCTGAGTTCAAAATAATTGTATTTTATATTGTAGTCATTACATAAGACATCTGAAATACCCTTTTACATTCATGGCAGTGGGAGGAGGTAGGGACATTTCAAAATTATTAACGTTTTGTGCAAAAATGCTGGATGCATGCATGGCAGATTTTGTTAGAAGGGAAGCAATTCATTATTATAATGCATCATGCTTGTACACATTGTCATAATTTATTTAGGCACATTATCAGTGCCAATGGTTGAATATTCATTCCTGACTCTCTCTATTTTCGGTACATGAGATGTGCTTAAAAATATCAATGACTTGTATGTACGTGGTGGGGAATCACGATGCAGCCTAGAACAAAACTAACCCCATTCAACCCCCAATAATGACAGACCACTTAGTATGGATGAAACAGGCCACATCATTTATTATCACAAACTAAATTGCTGCATAACACATCCATAACTTTATTTATTAAATCTCTTCTTTTTCTGTAACTAAAAATGTTAGACATAAATAGGCATAAATTAACATATATACATATATGACTCCACACATAGTCCTTGCCAACAAACATACAGTGGTTCCTAATCACTACCTCCTCTCATCTCCCCCCTCGTCATAAAAATTATATCTTTCCAATGTCCGCCATCAGCCGACCTTATCCACGCTCGATGGGCATGACACCTCAGGTAACCTAATGTTAACCGTTTGAAGCAGGGGAGGTTGAGACCTTAAAACTTGTTCATCTCATTCCATATACTTAAACATAACCCCTCAAACTCAATTGGCAAGGACATACGCCCGCCACAACCACGCTGTTTTACACCTAAAATCAGCGGGGTACCCCACCACAACCAGCCATGGCCTGTTCCATCACTTCATGCAGCACAAGATTAACCTAGTCCGACCTCCAGCAAGCGCACCCATCCCCTCGAGATAACTAGACCACATTTGGCAAAACCGTAAGGTGAACTGGAATCCCCCAAGCCAAGCTCAGAAACCCAGAGATGACAAAACCCCCGGTACCCGCAGGAGGCAGGACAGCTGACCCTGTATGAGGAGGAGCCACACCCCCTCATGTATCTGGTGCCAGACTACTGAACCTCCGCTCCCGAAGGCGTAAGATCCAATCACTTGCCCCCGCCTCCTGGTCCAAATTACACACGAGCATCCCACCATCCCCATTCCGGGGAGAGGGAAGACCATAACCGTGGAGAGAAATCCATTCGGAGACCGGCAGGGTGAACCTAAGGAACCCACAACCCTGACTCCCACCATTCGAGCCCCCAACCGGAATGAATGCCCCCTGAACTCCCCACCATCCTTAACCAGGAATTCGAGCCCAAAGTGGAACACCCCAACGAAATGGACGCAGGAGAGAAAACCTGTCTCCCAGAACCAAACAAGGGTGAGGAGGCAGAATAATCCAGGGGACGGAATAGCACTCCTAAGGAAAAACAGACAAATGAAGGAAACCCGGCACTGCCCCTGATTGGAACGGTATATTTCAGACAATCCTGGGAAACCACTATATCATGTCAGGAGCCAAACTATTACCCCGTCTACTTTAGGAGAATGCTGAAAGGCCAGGGTATGTCAACCCCGCAACATCCAAGAATTGCACAGATTCTATTGACGAATCAGCCAACCGCAACCGACTTACCCTTCACAACAAAAACAGCCGTCGAGTGGCGAAACCTAAGGGAAGTCCGTTCCAGCGCTTACTCAACTCCACTAAAACACCCTCCCACTTGTAGATGACCATAACATGAATGGGAAGCCGAGCCCTGCTAAAGGCAGAAATCACTGAGGAGGAGGTAAGACCTCCCCCACACTAACTTACACAGAACATAATCCCACCCACACATTCTTTCCCAACCAATCCCATGCATCTATCCCCACACTCCTACATGTGCCCTTGTCCGCTTAGCTGCGCTATCTCCCCAGGGCCTGGGTTACTGCTTTAAAAAGGTTTATATGCAGTCGTTGCTAAATAAATACATTTGGAGCTCCTGATTTATCAAAGTATTTTTGTCTTAATGTAAAGGACATAATGTGAAAGGCTACCTTAAATTAGGAGGTATTAGAAAAAAGAAGTCCATGATTAGGTGGACAAGAAAATCCCGAAAGTAAAAAAGAAAAGGGTGCTATTTAAAAAATTAAAACCTTGCATCCAATAATTATTTGTAAACTAAAGGATACTCCACTACCCTTCCCCCAAAACAAATAAATTTATTTTGTCTAGTAGATATACCCCCAATTAATTATTGTCTAGTAGATATAGCCCCAATGAAAACATGCATCCATTTCAGCAAGCCAAAGTGATTTATGGGTCTAGAGTGTCCCTTTAAAAATGATATATTCTTTACTAAAATATTACCCCTCAGCCCCAAACGCCCTTAACAGATGGAACCAAACATGTAGATGAGCAGTCTACTCCCAGAACCCCCAAGGAAACGTTCCCATCCGTCCCGATCACTCCAACCCTATTGTAGCGGGCCCCACGCCGCCTCAGAGATCGACCCACGGACCAGCTTCATCAGTCCTTTGGACCAAGCGACCACCTCTCCACTGCCCTATAATTTGACCTGAAGTACGTCCTATAGTGAACAAGATAGAGCATCGGCCATCACATTGGAAATACCCGGGCAAACCCCCTGACCAGCTGCCTTCAGACTCAAACGGATATGGCCTGGGCCACGGAACTCCGAAACGCCAAAACACTACCCCAAGAAAACAACGCAGCAGCAGAGTGCAGACATGCGACACTGACGGCCCCACACATAAGCGATATCGGGAGTAACTCTCGTGGAGGCCACCTAATCCTGACTGTCAGAAACACAGCCTGGAAACAATAACCCGCCGGGCATACCGGCAGCAGCCAGAAAACCAATTCCACAGGCGCCTTCATCAGCAAGGCCCCAGGGCCCCGCAGTCCAACACACGCAGACCGCTGCGCTGAGCCACCATCCCAAACCTAGCCCCTGGAAGGGAACGACAACAGAGTAAATAAGGAATCTGGCGATATCGACCCCGCTCCTCCATGGGCGTCATATCCCAAAGGGGAGACTCGCGGAGCAGACTTCAGGGGCACACTAAAAAGATCGGGAAGTAAGCTTATCAAGCTTTCTTGGTAAACTGGACCCACACCACCCAATGGAGTTCTCACATGGACTGAGGGTCTTGCATCGAGAGCACCCACGTCCCCTATCCCGACAGATTGCAGAGAGGACGAAAACGCACCGTGCTGAGGCACCAGAAGAGTCCTAAGTAAAACCAGAGGCTGAAGTCCATCCGGTCCCAGGCCAAGAAGGGTCGCACCGACAACCATTGACGAAAGTGCAAGACATACCTCAACCAACCCAGCTCATCCCAGGGACAATACGCTTTCCAGAGAGTGTCCTGACCGCAGAAACACGTGGTGAATTCTCGGGGAGCCCTCTCCCCAACCATGCTATCCAGAACACGGGTTGCATCTGAATATGCGTCATGGGGTGTATCCGACCACAGTATTCTCCCCACAACCCTCATGGAGGCCCTAATGTCCCTCTTAGTCAAGGGACCCCCGTGGCCGGAGGGAAAATACCTCCAATAAAAACCCCTACCCCCATCTGCTCCCTAGTATTTTGCGCAAGCCAAGCGGGCCATACCAGCTCAGCAGCACCCAGCGTCGCCGGACGCTGCAGGAAAGCATACTTAAACACATGACACATACTGAAAATGAAGGGGGTGGGGGAGCGGCGTCAATGTACCCTTTTTTTTTTTTTTTTTATTAATCTTCCTCATTGTATTCACTTTTTTTTTGTAATTTATTCCATTTGGTATTTTACAGTTCATTTCTTTCCTGTATTTTTTTTTTTTTGTGCTAAGAGGACCCGACTGAATAAAAGAAGGAACACGAAGCGCTAAAAAAAGTGGGAGGAAATGTACTCACTGGTTGAAGCCTGGTGATCGAAGCCCGGCACTGCACTCACTGAAGGCTGAGGCAAGGAAACAGTGGTTCCAGCATCTACAAAAGACATCAGCTGTGATCCAGGTGCCACCTGCTGGACGGATCCAGCAACTGCAGCAGTGTCCTGAGAAGAGAGCAGCAGAGAGGATGTGAGACCACGCCCCAGAGGAGATGGCTGAGGTAAGTGACCCGTGAGGGCCCATTCACCACACCACCCCCTCGCCGGCCGCCTGGAGAGCACCATCCACCGCACACTGCCCCCGGCCCGCGATCCAGTGCTGGCGGCCAGGGCAGATGGTGTGGAGGGAGACCGCTGAACAGTAGAGGCAGCGGGCCGCCTGGCAGTAGCAGGCCCTGTTGCAGAAGGCCGTGCCACGTGTAGTAGTTCTGGTGGTACCTCGGGCCCGGGCTCCACCTCCTCAACCGGGCCCGAGGAGTATTTTCTGGGGAAAGTCTGGCAGGCAGGTGGGAATGCCGGCCCATACCAGTGCGGCCCCCAAGGGCAGGGGACGCAGGGGAGGCAGCAGGGGGACCGCAGTGGGTGCTCCAGGGTGAGGGGGGGCGCGGGGAGGCCCACACCAGCAGCCATACCTCCATTAATGTTTGCAAATTGCTCCCCCTGTTGCCGGCCACCATCCAGCGCTGCAACAGCCCTGAGGGACGCCAGGATCGCCTCAATATCCATCCTTCAAGCTGTGAAGACTACAGGCTCAGGCAAACAAGAGCAGGAGGACAGGAAGCTGTTTGCTGGCCCGAATCCCAAGTGGCACTGAGGTAAGACCTCCCCCACACTAACTTACACAGAACATAATCCCACCCACACATTCTTTCCCAACCAATCCCATGCATCTATCCCCACACTCCTACATGTGCCCTTGTCCGCTTAGCTGCGCTATCTCCCCAGGGCCTGGGTTACTGCTTTAAAAAGGTTTATATGCAGTCGTTGCTAAATAAATACATTTGGAGCTCCTGATTTATCAAAGTATTTTTGTCTTAATGTAAAGGACATAATGTGAAAGGCTACCTTAAATTAGGAGGTATTAGAAAAAAGAAGTCCATGATTAGGTGGACAAGAAAATCCCGAAAGTAAAAAAGAAAAGGGTGCTATTTAAAAAATTAAAACCTTGCATCCAATAATTATTTGTAAACTAAAGGATACTCCACTACCCTTCCCCCAAAACAAATAAATTTATTTTGTCTAGTAGATATACCCCCAATTAATTATTGTCTAGTAGATATAGCCCCAATGAAAACATGCATCCATTTCAGCAAGCCAAAGTGATTTATGGGTCTAGAGTGTCCCTTTAAAAATGATATATTCTTTACTAAAATATTATTAATCTTTAATGATAACTTTCCCTTTTGGAAATAAACTGATCTACAGTTGCAAGAAAAAGTATGTGAACCCTTTGGAACAATATGGATTTCTGCACAAATTGGTCATAAAATGTGATCTGATCATCATCTAAGGCACAACAATAGACAATCACAGTCTGCTTAAACTATTAACACACAAAGAATGAAATGTTGCCATGTTTTTATTGAACATAGCATGTAAAAATTCACAGTGCAGGTGGAAAAAGTATGTGAACCCCTAGACTAATGACATCTCCAAGAGCTAATTGGAGTTAGATGTCAGCCAACTGGAGTCCAATCAATGAGATGAGATTGGAGGTGTTGGTTACAGCTGTCCTGTCCTATAAAAAACACACACCAGTTCTGGGTTTGCTTTTCACAAGAAGCATTGCCTGATGTGAATGATGCCTCGAACAAAAGAGCTCTCAGAAGACCTATGATTAAGAATTGTTGACTTGCATAAAGGTGGAAAGGGTTATGAAAGTATCTCCAAAAGCTTTGCTGTTCATCAGTCCACAGTAAGACAAATTGTCTATAAATGGAGAAAGTTCAGCACTGCTGCTACTCTCCCTAGGAGTGGCCGTCCTGTAAAGATGACTGCAAGAGCACAGCGCAGACTGCTCAATGAGGTGAAGAAGAATCCTAGAGTGTCAGCTAAAGACTTACAAAAGTCACTGGCAAATGCTAACATCCCTGTTAGCGAATCTACAATACGTAAAACACTAAACAAGAATGGATTTCATGGTAGGATACCACAGAGGAAGCCACTGCTGTCCAAACAAAACACTGCTGCATGTTTACAGTTTGCACAAGAGCACCTGGATGTTCCACAGCAGTACTGGCAAAATATTCTGTGGACAGATGAAACCAAAGTTGAGTTGTTTGGAAGAAACACACAACACCATGTGTGGTGAAAAAAAGGCACAGAACACCAACATCAAAACCTCATCCCAACTGTGAAGTATGGTGGTGGGGGCATCATGGTTTGGGGCTGCTTTGCTGCGTCAGGGCCTGGATGGATTGCTATCATCGAAGGAAAAATGAATTCCCAAGTTTATCAAGATATTTTGCAGGAGAACTTAAGGCCATCTGTCTACCAGCTGAAGCTCAACAGAAGATGAGTGTTGCAACAGGACAATGACCCAAAGCAGAGAAGTAAATCAACAACAGAATGGCTTAAACAGAAGAAAATACGCCTTCTGAAGTGGCCCAGTCAGAGTCCTGACCTCAACCCGATTGAGATGCTGTGGCATGACCTCAAGAAAGCGATTGACACCAGACATCCCAAGAATATTGCTGAACTGAAACAGTTCTGTAAAGAGTAATGGTCAAGAATTACTCCTGACCGTTGTGCACGTCTGATCTGCAACTACAGGAAACGTTTGGTTGAAGTTATTGCTGCCAAAGGAGGTTCAACCAGTTATTAAATCGAAGGGTTCACATACTTTT